AAAAAATAAATGGGTATTTATTAAATAATTGAATATTAAGGATCAATGAATATGAACATAGGCCCGTAGCAAAAAAGAAAGAAAGAAATTATCAAAACTTACGATGTAAATTTTATAAAAAGTATATAAATAAATAAATAATAATTTTTTATAGTCGGGAGGAAAAGAATTTTAAATGGTTGTAATTTGCTGTAAATATTGTGCTACTTAACAACACAAAAATTTTTTTATGATTTTATTTTTTTCTGATGAAAAGCTTTGAAGTTTTATATATATTTCCTTATGAAATTATTTTTAAACGTTTAAACACATAATTCTCCATAAATTGATCATTTAATTTTTTTATACATATCATTGGGGCATATTGCAATAAAAAATATTTTTTAATAATAAATAAAATTATTCATTAAAAAATCAAATAAACCCTCTTTGAAATAAAAAAAAATCAATTTCACACCTCTGCAGCCTTCCCGAGAGCGAGAACAATAGGGACAGTAATTATCAGTAAATGTCAGCACTTGTCTAAGTTTTTCAGAAGGGACAGTAAACGGGTCAGTAATTGTCTAAGTTTATCAGCATCGACTAAGTTTATCAGCACCGGCAGTAAAAAGGTCAGTAATTGTCTAAGTTTATCAGTAAGGACAGCACATTGTCAGTAATTTTCTAAGTTTGTCAGTAAAAAATGGGAATGTCAGTACATTTTGGACTTAGTAGTGATCTGTACCAGACACCAGTATAAACTAACCTTAAGTTTTGTGCTCACTCCATCTGTACCAGACACCAGTATAAACTAACCTTAAGTTTTGTGCCCATTCCATCTGTACCAGACACCAGTATAAACTAACCTTAAGTTTTGTGCCCATTCCATCTGTACCAGACACCAGTAGAAACTAACCTTAAGTTTTGTGCCCATTCCATCTGTACCAGACACCAGTATAAACTAACCTTAAGTTTTGTGCCCATTCCATCTGTACCAGACACCAGTATAAACTAACCTTAAGTTTCATGCCCACTCCATCTGAACCAGACACCAGTATAAACTGACCTTAAGTTTCGTGCCCACTCCATCTGTACCAGACGCCAGTATAAACTGACCTTAAGTTTTGTGCCTACTGCATCTGTACCAGACGCCAGTTTAAACTGACCTTAAGTTTTGTGCCCATTCCATCTGTACCAGACACCAGTTTAAACTGACCTTAAAGTTTTGTGCCCATTCCATCAGTACCAGTCATTAGTATAAACTGACCTTAAGTTTTGTGTCCATTCCATCAGTACCAGTCATTAGTATAAATTGACCTTAAGTTTTGTGCCCACTCCATCTGTACCAGACACCAGTATAAACTGACTTTAAGTTTCTTGCCCACTCCATCTGTACCAGACATCAGAATAAACTGACCTTAAGTTTTGTGCCCACTCCATCTGTACCAGACACCAGCTTAAACTGACCTTAAGTTTTGTGCCCATTCCATCTGTACAAGACACCAGTTTAAACTGACCTTAAGTTTTGTACCCACTCCATCTGTAACAGACACCAGTATAAACTGACCTTAAGTTTCGTGCCCACTCCATCTGTACCAGACACCAGTATAGGATCAGTAAATCCTGCAGCTTTGACGTCAAACAAAGCACCAAATCCACCCAGACTAGCATCACATCCAGGTCTCATGGTGTCTTTAGCCAATGGCTGAATGGCCTTAACCAGAATGTTACCAGCCTCAATGTTAACTCCAGAATCTTGGTATGAGAGATGGGGGAACATGGTTTTTTGATGCCTGTAATATTACATGAATTCAATAGAAATCTAAAGTGTATATAAAGCATAATATATCACATATTTTTACAGAAGCAAGCCAAGATTAACATATGTATAAATTTCTCGCTAATAAAACTCATAACATTTATTTCAATTTTGTTTTTATATCTCTTTTTCCAAATGTTTTGAGAAGGTTCTATTCTCATGTATGCATTTTCACCTGTTAATTAAACAAGGGTCATGCATTGGATCCTCTCACATTGGCAGTTTGAAAAATCTTTCTTTTAGCATTGCCTGGATATTGTTACCTGTCCAACACCCTGAATCCAATATCAGATCTGTGATAACTCCATCAAACTTGATAAACCCCGCCCACTTCTCAGCTTCTGTACAGGCTGACTGGAGGTCAGAGTTCACGGCCACGACAACCAGGACACGCCCACCACTGGTAACTATACCCTGCTCCTGTTTGGCCGTCCCTGCATGGAACACCAGAACTCGGGGTCCTAACTTCTCCACTCCATCTATACCTATAATATTCAACAAAGAAATCATTTCTTGCTTTTCAGGTGTGGACACAATTTTTTATGCAAGTCATGATCGGTTGATAACCCCAGCCTTCAAAACTTAAACATCTTTTTTTCTGTATAGAAAAAGAACACACATCATACTGTTTTATCAAAAGATCAAATTCAAGGGGGGGGGGGGCTTATAGTAATTGGGGTATCTGTCTTATTCATTTAAATTATAATTTTAATCATAATAATAAGTTATAGCAAACCCAAAATCTAAAAACTGTTATATCAATTTAATCAATTTCTTAAATTTTTAGCCAAGTTACAGATTAACACAGTGTCACATACTCCTGACAGTTTATATGCTGTATGTACCTGAGATAGGAAACCCTTTTTTGTACACCCCAGGGTATCCCCCACTGGCTAGCACCACCCCCACTGTATACAGGTCCGAGGTAAACTGTGGGAAGTTGTGGGTGAGTTTTCCCTCCACACAGGTTTGACATACTTTATGCAGGTCAGACTCCAGTAGTGGTAGGATAGACTAGCTGAAACAATAATTGAATAAACGAAAATATACAGAAGTCAGAATTATAAAGAAATTATAGAATACATGAAAGTCTACACTAGTCAGAATTACGGTATAATCCACAAGGAATGTACTGAATAGAGGCTGAATTACATAATATAAAGTAGATGGTAAATATAGGGAATTAAACAAAATTAATTTGGTACTAATCTGGATTTTAAACTTTTAAAATATATATATTTTATATTCTTTAAATTTTTGGAAGTCATTGAATAAACATTATGAAAGCAACAAATAAAATTTAAGAACTTTAATAATAGAAAATGATACCTTATGTATCAGTTTTACAATCAGTGAAAAATAAATCCCCTAGCTCTCTCATAATTTTATTTTTTTTTATTTTCTTATATATTTATTTATATATATTTTATTAACTTTGCCTTGAGAACCAATGATTTAAATTATAGTGGACTAATCATGTCAAAACTTGAAGAGCTTAATTGAAATTGTTTTGGAATCCTTTTCTTTAAAAGTATACATTCTATAATTCGATCTAGAGCTCATATAACAAAATGAAAGTGGATTTAGAGGGGTTTTCCGAACTATTTATATATAGCACCTGATAATTTTCATATCTTAATCTGTAAAATGGACCCCATTTTCATGTCTCCAGTGTAAGTTTTAATGTATATTGTACTTAATTGAAATGTCTTCAAAGTTTGTATCTGTTCTTGGTAAAACTAACTTGAAAGCGAAAGAAATTTTTGAAAGCTTAGAGTAAAAAGTATTTATAAATAATCCTATATAATCATAATCATGAAAATTTTGCTAGCATTGAATGGTTTACTAAAATGGCATCCTATAGTGTATATCATAGCATAAAATAATACTTGCGAATAACATAAAATTACCTGTTATTTGTCATTAGGAAGACAGCCCTACAACATATGTCTGAGTCAGTGTTTATAGGACTGTGTGATAAACTTGGGACTTCACAACTGGTGGCCATGAAGAGAGATGTGGTGGACATGATGGATATGCTGGACAATCAAGTGAGAACAAATGATGAGAACAGTGTGATTTGGAGTGGAAGTCACAAAGAAGGATTCAGGCTGGAAGGGTCAGATATAGACTATATGTCCTGGCCAAATAATTACCGTGTGATCTGGGAATTATCTCAGTCTCAGTATTACAACACACACAGACTAACACTGATCCTCAGTGACTGTTCTGATAGTCCACCAGGATTCACTTTGTTATATTTACTGTCACCAAGCATGGACAGACAGGTCCAGAGAGCTTGTGTTATAATGAATAATAGACATCTTATCTCTAGTTCAGAATATAGAAGGACTTGGTGTTCTGTAGTTTATTCTGACTCCATTGAGCATGGACCCTGTGCTAGTGGAGTTTCTGATGGGGAAACAGAATATGATATAGCCCACTGTTTCGTTAGTGACTTTTGGCCTCAACCTGCCACCGTATGGATATACAGATGTCACTCCTGGCCCCAGCCTCATATTGTTGATGACATAGTTAAAAATGGATGTCACCTTGTCGCAATAGGACATACTCTAGGAAACCATGTGCACAACGAATGGAGAATTTCTTTCTCTCTTGCAGAATTTAAACTTGTGTGTGCTATGAATCACTGTCAATTCTTAACTTATGGCTTGCTTAAATTGTGCTTAACAGAAATAATGAACAATGGACTAAGTGATGAAGATAAATTACTGTGTTCCTATCACATGAAGACAGCAGTTTTCTGGGTGATTCAACAGAATACATTACAACAGTGGTGTCCACAAAATCTCCTGGAGTGTTTCTGGGTCTGTTTCAAGCTCATCCTTAAGTGGGTGTATGAGGGAGTCTGTCCTAACTTTTTCATTCCCCAAAACAACATGTTTCTGAGTAAAGTACATTGTGAAACAAAACATCAGCTATTTATAAGACTGTATGGGTTGTATGAGAAAGGTTTAGCATTCCTGTTACACAGTCCCTCGATTAGGTCTTGTATTATAAATGTTTTTCATAACCCCCACCTCTCCATCTGTACAGATGAACATACACTGATTTCTGAGGCTGAGTTTGATATAGAGCTAGTGAAGGAGATACATACATATGGCTCACTTCTCACACCAAACCTAGAAACCTATATGAGATATCTACATACAATAGAACAGATGATAGATTCACCCCTCCTAACACAGTATCAAGTCCTGATTCTACAGAAACTTACAGCGTCTGTCCTTCAGAATACAGCTTTTACATTTTACATGGAAACTTACACACATAAAAACAAACTGAGGTATAGAGCTGACAAAATCTCCTGTCACATGCTGAAATTAGCAGCTAAGTTTGGTTATATTACTGACATGATGTACATAGCTATATATTATTACAAGACACTTAGATACATGAAAGCTTTATCTATCATAGAGATGACCAAGGTCAAGTTAGCACAGCCTTATGTGATGTATTGGTATGATGTAGATAGAGAGATGTATACTGAGGCTGTAGGGGGACAACCCTGGTCTACAAAGATGAGACATGCTGTTGTAGGGAATGTCACACTTAACAATAAAATCCATTACATCAGTGAATTGATACCAGAACAACAGTCTGCTCAACAGAACGAAGAGCCTGTATTATTTATCCCACCCTTTATCCTCTTATACATGCTAAAAATCTTGTGCTACAGACATGTAGAAACATCGAGAGTACAAACAGCTCTAAATGATCTACAGACCCTAGTTCACTATGACCAGGGACAGCTTATACCTTCACCATACAGAGATATATCTTGGCAGATTCTGGGGATCTGTCAACAGGTGACAGGGAACCTCCAGGCTGCTCTATACTCATACCAACAATCTCTCGGACAAAGACCATTCAATAAAATACAAATGGCTACAGAAATGAGAATACAGGGAAATTGTCACTAAGATAACTAAATTAGTAAAATAAATTGAAACATTTACATGTAGGAATTTAGGCTGGACTGAAACATTGGCCTGGATAGCTCAGTGGTTTGAGTATGTGAATTAAATCTTCATGGTTTAGAGAAAACATGCCAATACTACATAACAGAAATTAAAGAGAAACTAATTTAAGTGTATTTTGCCTTATTCCCTGCTACATGTACAATTATAGGTGGAACCATTATGTCTTCAATAGCAAATCTCATGAAGTTAACTAACATGTATATTTAGAGATAAATCTTCTACTACATATATACAAACTGGATTACTAAACTTCTCTGTTTCTGAATGAAATGAGATTTTTAAAATCAATGAAATGGTCATTCAGAAAATATAGTAGAGGAAGAAGAAATATTTACATTCAGTGTAATTTTCTTTACGAAATCCATTAGAAATCCACGATGCTCAAATTTCTATAACACACGCGAAACCTTGTCACAGCACGGTACAATACACTGTAGGAACTACATGCATGTTCAATATTTAGGAACACTAAAATGTATATTGCTTTCACTAAATTTCATTTTTAAAAAAACTACCCTTCTTAAATTAACATAAAATACAACAAATGTGTATTAAAATGAATTTGTCATTTTTTTCCTCGCAATGTTTATTTGCGTTATTTAACTTTCCAACGTCACAAATGGCTTTCCAATGTCACGAACAGCTAATACATTTATAAGCATACCAAAGGGCGCTAAATTCACATTAAACATGAATGAAATAAAAAAATATGATCACGGAAAATTAGAGAATGTAAATATAAGCATTGAATTCATATTTTGGGATGTCTTTGGTTCTATAGCACACCTGGCTGTGTGTTATAGGACCATAGACATCCCAAAATATGAATTCAATGCTTAAATATACTTACTATAAATTTTATCAGATTGGCTTATACAAATGTTAAGAATTTATTTATTATAGTTTTATACACACTCCTCATAAATGCATAGTAATAAAATGAGAAAAGATCAATTTATTAACATTCAAAAATATTGCAATACAATGTCATGCATACAGTACCCATAACATTATTCTTTACAATTCTATTGTGTCCTATTGTGAATGTATCCTATACTCTTATGCATTTAGCCTATCCTATCATGCATGTATCCTATTGTATCGTGAATGTATCCTATTGTATTGTGAATGTATCCTATTGTATCGTGAATGTATCCTATTGTATGGTGTGTGTATCCAATAGTGTGTGTGTATCCTATCACATCATATGTGTAACTATCCTATTGTATTGTGTGTGTATATTATTGTATCATGCATATATCCTATCGAATCGTGCACATATTCTATCATATCATGCATGCATCTTATCATTTTGTGTATCCTGTGAAAAACAATTACAAACATTATATTCCTAGCCATATTCATGGCAGGGCATACAAATGTGTTATGGGCAGATATTTGCAAATTTGACGTCCTCTTTCTCATTTAGCCTACACTTTTCTTATGCATATACAGTTATACTAAATCCCCTTCCCCCCAGTCACTCATTTTAACGCACGTACCTCTTACATATTTCTATCACATGAACATTAAGTGTATGTTGCATAAAAGTTCAGTAAGTTGTAAAGAGTTAACTCACTTGAGTTTCTGGGTCTCCAAATCGACAGTTAAATTCCAGAACTTTTGGTCCAGCCGATGTTAGCATTATCCCAGCATACAGAACACCTACAATAGAAATGTTATCATCAAAATAAAACATTGAAACCTTATGTTATGACCTTCCTATTTCTAAAAACTAATTGGATAATTAAGAAAAATTCTAAAAGAACAGTTGATATAACTATGGTCTGGGGCCCCCTTTTCTACCATGAATTATACTAAATCTAAAATCTTTCTGATATTTACTGTATACAGGGTTATTTTTGCCCCAGGTTATATTCACCCTTTTTTACTTATTTACAAATTTGTCCCGTTTTAAATTTGCCCATTCCCAGTTCTGTTTAAGAATTTAAACTATGTTCTTTGAATTCGCCCCCTTCTTAGTTCTAAACTCACCCTTTTGTGATAATGGCAAAAGGGACGAAAATAAAACCTGGCGAAAATTTCCCTGTATACAGTATTTTCAAACAAGAATGAAGGAGAATGATTCCTTCTGAATAGTGCAGTGATGAAGTCTTTAGTTACAAAATTGTATGTTCAATCTGCTATAATGTATTCATGCAAAGCAGTAAATAATTTTGGTAAGATATTATTCAGTTGTAATAGTTCTACTGACACCTTACCAATAAATGGAAATCCCATTTTTCATCCCATCCACAGCTCTTTGTAATATCTCCTTTCTAATGATCTCCATATCTTTGTATGATATCTACACATATAGAATAAAATAATTATTATACACAGCTCTCTGTAATATCTCCTTTCTAATGATCTACAAATCTTTGTCTGATATCTACACATATAGAATAAAATGATTATTATACACAGCTCTCTGTAATATCTCCTTTCTAATGATCTACAAATCTTTGTCTGATATCTACACATATAGAATAAAATGATTATTATACACAGCTCTCTGTAATATCTCCTTTCTAATGATCTACAAATCTTTGTCTGATATCTACACATATAGAATAAAATGTCTATTATAGTCAGTATTTTGGAAGGACTTGGTCGTTGTGACATAGTGGCACTAAAGTGAAAATTGGCACATTTTATCAACCATTTGCAGAACCAAGGTGCATCAACTCAATTTTAAGCAATTTTAATTGTAAATATTCTGTGACTGTATGACTTTCTTGCCTGTTTTGCTTTTGTTTTCAATGCAGTCATTTTATTACATAATTATAAAACAAATCGCACTGGTGAAAACCTGTTAAAACTGCTTCTTGTTTTATGAAGTCTCATGTAAATATTGACATTATTGATGACAACATATGGGTATATTATATTGTTTGAGTGTTCCTTTAAATGTACTGCACAGCATGCATAAAAAACAGAATCGGTAAATAAAAAATATTTTCTCTTGTACTTCATATTTGTTTGTCATTTTGTTGTTTCTTAAAAATAACCATTTGGATTACCAAAAAACAAATAACGTTCATTTTCAAAATCATGAAAATGGTCCATTAAAAACTAAAACAATTGTGCTATTGTCCCATTGACCTAAATCATGTTAATGGCCTTCAACGTCACTGGAAGATGAATAAGAATATGTAATCATAATTGTGCAATATATATTGATTCTACTCACCAATATAAGGAAAAATGACTCCCCATATTATTTATTTTTACACACCTGTAGATAAGTATTAATGGCCCCCAGTCCTCCTGTTATTTCTACTCACCAGGGGATAAGGACAAATGGCCCCCATTCCTTTTGTTAATTCTACTCACCATGGGATAAGGACAAATGGCCCACATGCCTTCTGTTAATTCTACTCACCAGAGGATAAGGACAAATGGCCCCCATGCTTTCTGTTAATTCTACTCACCAAAGGATATAAGAACAAATGACCCCAGTCCTTCTGTTAATTCTGCTCACTAGAGGATAAGGACAAATGACCCCCCAGTCCTTCTGTTAATTCTGCTCACCAGAGGATAGGGACAAATGACCCCCAGTCCTTCTGTTAATTCTGCTCACCAGGGGATAAGGACAAATGGCCCCCATTCCTTCTGTTAATTCTACTCACTACAGGATAAGGACAAATGACCCCAGTCCTTCTGTTAACTCTGCTCACCAGAGGATAAAGACAAATGGTCCCCATTCCTTCTGTTAATTCTACTCACTACAGGATAAGGACAAATGACCCCCAGTCCTTCTGTTAATTCTGCTCACCAGAGGATAAGGTCAAATGACCCCCAGTCCTTCTGTTAATTCTGCTCACCAGAGGATAAAGACAAATGGTCCCCCTTCCTTCTGTTAATTCTACTCACTACAGGATAAGGACACATGGCCCCGAGTCCTGTTTATTCTACTCACCAGGGGAAAAACACAAATGGCCCCCAGTCCTTATGTTAATTCTACTCACCAGGGAATAAGGACAAATGGCCCCCATTCCTTCTGTTAATTCTACTCACTAGGAGATAAAGACAAATGGCGCCCAGTTCTTCTGTTAATTCTACTCAGCAGAGGAAAAGGTCGAATGACCCCCAGTCCTTCTGTTAATTCTACTCGCCAGGGAATAAGAACAAATGGCCCCCAGTTCTTCTGTTAATTCTACTCACCAGAGGATAAGGACAAATGGCCTCCAGTTCTTCTGTTAATACTACTCGCCAGGGAATAAGAACAAATGGCCTCCAGTTCTTCTGTTAATTCTACTCACCAGAGGATAATGACAAATGACCCCCATTCCTTCTGTTAATTCTACTCACCAGAGGATAAGGACAAATGGCCCCAGTCCTCCTGTTAATTCTAATTTCCAGGGAATAAGGACAAATGGTCCCCAGTCTTTCTGTTAATTCTACTCACCAGAGGGTAAGGACAAATGGCCCCCAGTCCTCCTGTTAATTCTACTCACCAGGGAATAAGGACAAATGGCCCCCAATTCTTCTGTTAATTCTACTCGCCAGGGGATAAGGACAAATGGCCCCCAGTCCTTCTGTTAATTCTACTCACCAGGGAATAATGACAAATGGCCCCCAGTTCTTCTGTTAATTCTACTCACCAGAGGATAATGACAAATGGCCCCCAGTCCTTCTGTTAATTCTACTCACCAGGGGATAAGGACAAATGGCCCCCAGTCCTTCTGTTAATTCTACTCACCAGGGGATAAGGACAAATGGCCCCCAGTCCTTCTGTTAATTCTACTCACCAGGGGATAAGGACAAATGGCCCCCAGTCCTTCTGTTAATTCTACTCACCAGGGGATAAGGACAAATGGCCCCCAGTCCTTCTGTTAATTCTACTCACCAGAGGATAATGACAAATGACCCCCAATCCTTCTGTTAATTCTACTCACCAGGGAATAAGGACAAATGGCCCCCAGTCCTCCTGTTAATTCTACTAACCAGGGGATAAGGACTTATGGCCCATATTTCTTCTCTTAATTTTTATATTTTATACACAAACTGGTGATCTCTCGTGGTTAACATGATTTCATGAATTAATCTGCTACAAGAATATTATTAATACATATATGCTGTAGTAGACTGGTTTCATTAGCTGTTACAAGAATTTTCTGTATGAAATGCAGTATTTCTTTTTAATTAACTAAAAGAATTGCTGACTTCAACATAAGAATAACTGGACTTGTGTTTGCCTCCCTATGGTATGAATTTGTATATTAGATGAAGTGACAAGTAAATTTAAGCTTACAAAAATGCACTAGAGTAAATTCATTTACTAGATTGTCTAGCATGAATCCTTAAGACTTTGGATTGCTTTATGTGTTGGAATACATATCCTTCCACCTTATTAAGTAGTAATCTGTTACGTATGCGTCATGCTGTTATTTTATATAGACTTTCTCGGGATTACATAGCAGTGGACAAAAACCGACAGCTGCTAATGTGAACTGATTACGGTTGTTGTGCAGTGACTGACCAAAAATATTATAACAAGGTTTATTTCAAATAGGATGTGTTCACATCTGCCATGTATCAAATTACTACACAATCAATTATTAATATATTCATAAATCTATTTTAGATAAATATTGCCACAAATACTGTAGATGTATTTTTTTCCGCGGTGTCATAATTCCGCAGAATCTCAATTTTTT